TTTAACTGAAACTATAAAATAAAGATGATAAATAAATAAGAAGTAAAATCTTTTCATTTCATCTTCTTATTATTGTTTATCTTTTAAATTCTGTATTATCACTCGGTGTACGTTTAATAACTTACGTTTATAATCTTCTTCAAAAAGAATCATCGATACGTTTCTACGCATATCGGGTGGGGAAAAAATTCCTTCGTACTTTAATGCAAAATTCAAACAAGTTTTTTCTATATTTTCTATCTCACCTTCCCACAAAGTGGTTTTAACTTATTTCCTGCTCAATGTTTAATTTCTTACCGATATCATGACCACTAATGTGCTGGTTTTATTCCATTTTTTTAATGATCTTATCGACTTTTTCGAATGATTGAAAACGTATCATGTTCATAAATATTATAAATATTTTTATTTGCCTCAATTGCATTCTTCCCTCTTTTCTAATAGAATTTTAAAATGTATCAAATTGTTATCTATATATTTTTATTCATTATTAATTGTAAGATGTAATAACTTGACTGAACGTATAATAACTTTTTTGTTTTAATTATTCTATGATGTGTCAAATTTTAAACGGACGTATGTATTGCCTGATTCGAATAATATTACGAGTTTTACTATCTTAAGAATCCATCTAACGGGAAAATACGAAGAAACTTTTTCCCCGACCATTATATCATACACGAAATTTCAAAAGTAGTTACAACGAGCTCAGAAATCATCAATCTTTTTTTATGAAAGTAATTCAAATGGCGAAATCATGAACCCATATTTTGGGATAACCAATAAGATTATTTCTAGTAATTTTTTTTATATATAACTTTAATTCTAATTATTGAATTTAATCTAATCACTCTTTACAAAGTTATAATTTTATATTTAATTAATTTGTATTAAAAAATTAATATTTATACGTTTCAGATAATATCAAATTTACGTATAACCGTGAAAAAGATTTGATATATGAAAAACTAAATAAAGCAATATTAATTTATTGTTTTATTTTTATTTTCTCAAAAAAAAGCAACTTTTGCGACACTCTGTATGTTTACGTTTGGAATTATATATATATATACATATGCACGCGTACACTCGTATCTTCTTACCGGTATTAATAAGACGCGAAATAGAAAGTTTTGTTTATATTTTCTTTTTTCTTAAAAATGTTATTATTATGACGACATTAAAAAAGTGTCCCAACAGACAAAACTAATAAATTTATTTTAATTGTTCGTTTTTTCGCGTTACTTATCTTGAATTTTAACAAGAGAACGTTGTCATCGGATCATCGAGTTCTAACAACTTTTAATACGAACGACTGAATCGCTAAAGCTATGCTTTGATTATCTCTATTACGATATCGCGACGCAATTTTGCGTCTTTTTATTCGTTCGTTGCTTCGTTCGTTCGTTCGTTCGTTCACTGTACTAATTGTAAGTGTCAACGCAGTGTGATGTAATCTAGTAGAACGTTTACGAATTCAAAGAATTAACTAGTGCATCCGTTCGCGAGGTGACCTCTTGTCTTTTGTAAAATAAGATTATTTATTTTATTTTCAAGTGAAATCTTGTTTCAAGGTGAACCTGAATGTTCAATTATATCTAAGAGAGAGAGAGAGATATTATCTATTAAAATAAAAGTATTATATTATGGTTATAAAGAAAAATATTAAAAGAGGTCGGTTATGACACTTTAAACACTATGAACTGTCAAAATTAAACTAAATGATTAATTCTAATATAAAACGAGTCTTCATTATTATTATTTATTTTTTAATATAATATACATTTACATATATATATATATATATATAATAAATATTTATGTTTTAGTAAAATATATTATTTCTTTTATTAAACTTGAGTAAATAAAATATAAACAAGGATTTTATTTTATAACAGTATACTATATTTTAATAATAACGAATCATTTTAATCGGTTTAGTAAAAATAGGCATGCATTAATTATAGACAGTTTTACTTTTAAGCTTTAGGATTTTTTCAGAACACTCTTCCACTTTCTTTTAAAAAGTTTTTTTTTCTTTTATGACAAACAGATGTTACGAATTTTCTTCTATCCACTTCGTGAGCGAGTAGTAAAAATTCTTCGTAGTTTTGTATTGCTTTATTAAAACTATCTAACACTGTTTCTGAAAATAGATTTTACGATTTGTTTTTAAAATAACACAGAATTTTTTTTTTTTACATAAATATCACAAAGTATTTGACGCAAATGACGCAAGCATGTTTGAGAAAACAAAAATCGAGTAAGTAAACGAGTAAATAAATGTTTTTTATGAGAACACGACATACGAAACGTCGATACGCATCGAGTGTAATGAAAGAACAATAATTGGCAGAACGAGCCGTAATAATGTACGCCGTAGAAAATTAACCGAAAAACTTGGCACGTCTTATCGGAATAAGGTGGATTAAGTATCATCAAAATTCAATGACTCATACGTATACTAGAAATCTATTTTACATCTTTACTGACATGCCTTTGTTTCGTATTTTAGGCCACGCGATTGATCGTAATTACGTCATTTCAATTTTGAAGTACGCAAAAAAATAAAAAAAGAAGGGGAAAAAGAGAGAGTAAACAAAATTCAACGTATCGTTCAATATGGATGAAAACATAAAACGAATTTCATCATTTCTAATAAAGTCGGGCATTTTATTATTTCAAGGGCTTAATTAAGAAAGTGGTCGATAAAATAAAACCACCAGGAAATGTGTACATATACAGGGTGTTCTAAAACTTACGCTACTGAGAGATAAGATAAACAAAATAAAAAATCAATATAAGTGAATCGAATAGAATTACGATACTTTTTTTCTCATTTAAAAATATAAATCTGTAATGACTGTGGTGTTAAAAACAAAGTTTGTCTAAAATGCTGTGCTATTCCAAATACATAAAAAAAAAGATTTTCTTTTGGTACAAGGCATTTTGGGACACTTTGTACATATATTCTTTCTTTGTATAATATATATCTTATTTTCTATAAATATAATGTTAGTATATGTATTAGTATACAATATAAATATAGAGGATAAGAAAAAACACAGAAACAAACGATTTACTTTGCTTACATCACGTCTTTGTGCTACTTAAATCGAAACATTCCCCCCTTTAGCCCCCACCCTTTAATCCATCGACTATTCACAGGTCTCTTCCTACCTATACCATAACCTCGGTACGTGTGTAAGCAAAAACGAAGCTACACGCCCAGTGAACGGAACGTTGACACAAGACGCGATAGTTCTCCGCGCATGCGCAAGATGGCAGCACTCCTGCCTGCCTGCCTGCCTGCCTACCCGTTTTAAGTGGGTTGATGTATCTACCCCCCTTTATTTCTCCCTTCTTTTCCACAAACATAGATACTCGAGCAATACTTTAAGCTACCAACGATTAGATAACAATATCCTTATAGGCTACTTTTTCGTTATTGAGAAAATAATAAGTTGAAAATTATGTACTTAAAAATAGCTATAATCATATTTTATATGAATGCACAATTCACTTTCAATCGTAATTGAAGGTTATTTCACGAAATTATGAAAATTTAAATTTGTTTTTACACTTTTACAAAGTTTGTTTACGTATTAGAATTGAGTTGCGCGAAATTTAAAGCTGCATGGAAGGGGAGTTTATTTTTTTCGTAGATAAATATTCGAATGCGACGTATTAGAAAAAAAAAATAAGTCTAACGTATACCATTGTGCTGTGATAAGTCGTGAGAATTAGAGCATCAGGCGCGAAAACAGTGGACGAGTACAGCGTCCTTGCCGGCCAAATCTGGCCAATCAGTGACGCGTATTAACGTCTAAAAATTCTTTTTATTATGACATAAATACCTACAATTATACATGCATATATACAAGAATACATATACATACGATCACACAATCGAACGAATGATCGAAATTTTGTCTATTTTATTTAGCAAACTACTTTCAAATATAGAAAAGAGAAAGTTGGGATTCACAAAACGAGATGATAATTATATGCGTATGGTAATAATACTTTTGATATTACAAATTTCAGTTCTACGTGAATTTCTTTAAATAAAAATGTCCACTAAAACGATATTTTGAATTAATGGCGTCCGCTAGCATCAACTCGTATAAAACGAATGATCCTGTCATCTCTAATGACTATTATTAGAATGAAACAATTTTAATTTTACAATACACTTCACATTATTTTTTTAAAGTATTATTAGTCCTCCAAAAAATATTTTGTACTTTCTTTTTAATATAAACAAAAAATATCATAGATTTATTATTAGCCTTCATATATTTGAAACGCATAAACTATAGATAACAAAAATGTTAAGGATATGATAAACGGTTAAAGATTTTGATAAACAAGAATTGTGTTTTTGATTCAAAAAAAATCACAGTTCAATTTTATAACAGTTTTTTTCTTTTCAATATATTAATAAAATATCTATATTTATTATATCGTATTAGACAAGATAGAACTAAAAAGATCAATAGTTAGTTGAAACTTTAAGCTTGAATATATAAAAGGATAAAGTTACAAAAAATGTCCCGAAAAATCGATTTGCTTCTTTCAAAATGAAATAATTCTGAAAGAAGGAGAAGAATAATAAATTGCAATAAAATAAGTCTAATGATAAATTCGTTTTAACTGGAAATATACAATATGTATAACAATTTGTACAATGAATACAATTAGGTAGAAAAATCCTAATAATCGTTATTTATAATTTCTTATTGGTTTAATCACAGACATCATCCACCTTTGTTCTACATACATACATATTCTAGTTACGTCTCTGTTTGGTAGTCGAGGAAAGGCGCTGTTGTTAAAGATGTCGCTGCAATCATTTTGTGCACTACTAGCGCTGGCGACGCTTAACAAAAGCAAGTCGGGAGGATCGACCAATCGGTGCGCAGGAACGGACCTTCCATTCGCCGTGCCCGTGGATAATCGTACTGTCGACAAAGGACAGCTGGCGACTCGATGCGTCAGAATTGAACGCTAGCTACAACGCTGGTAGTGTAGTAGTGGTGGGTTGAGCTAGTAGTCCTCTTCTCCCTCTTCCTACTTCTTCGACTTTCCACCCCCTCCATTGACCACAGCTAGTTCTTTTCCTCTCTCTCTCTCTCTTACTATTTCTCTCTTTTTCTTATTGGCACTAGCAGAGGCATTGTAAAGCCGAGAAGCAAGCAGTCCACCAGTCTCTGACAGTTCGGTCGAGCGTTCAGTGTGCGCGTAATCGCGAAACATTTTGCCTGTTTAGTGCGCTTGCTTGTGCTGGCTAAAGGAGTTACGAAAAATAAAATACGTTAACTACATAATCACGAGGTAAAGAAAACAAATCAATGGAAAAATAAATGTTAAATAATTTTTTTTCCCGGTGAGATTAAATGATATTGTGAATCGTAGCAAAACAGAAAACAAAGAAAGAGAGAGAAAGAAAGAAATGGGTAACCAGAGTATGATATACGGGTTGAATGTTAGAAAAAGAGAATAGTTGGATTAAAGAAGCAAGCAAGCAAGCAAGCAAGCAAGCAAGCGAGTGAGTGAGTGAGTGAGTGAGTGAGTGAGTGAGTGAGTGAGTGAGAGAGTGAAAGAGTGAGAGATCGAGAGATCGAGAGAGAAAGAGAGAAAGAGAGAGTGAGAAAGAGAGGAACGAGTGATAGAAAGATAGAGAGGAAAAGAGGGAGATAGAGAATCGCCCTCGGTGAATCGTAAAAAAGGGCGCGAGCGGTGCCCCTTTGTTCCGTGATTGGCATCGCGCGCGCATAGGTTTCCCGTGCGATGGCGCAGCTCCGATTTGTTATGTTGTACGTTGCGTGATACGCTGTCCCGTCATCGTTGTCATCTTTCTCGTTTTCGTCGCTGTCGTTATCGTTGTCGTTGTTGTCTTGTTTTTAGGTGACGTTATTATCCGATACCGAAATCATGTTCGTGTCCTAAACGAAGAGAGAAAACGAAATAAAAAAAATACCAATCATAAAGTGAGAAATTTATATTATATATACATATATATATATATATATATATATATATTATGATGTTTCTATAATTTTATGTGATGCACATAAGTATGATGTATGCGTGTGTATACGGGGAGTAATGAAACAAAAAAAAAGATTAAACGTGCGAAGGATAGAGAAAAAGAGAGAGAGAGAGAGTGAGTGAGTGAGTGAGTGAGTGAGTGAATAAGTGAGTAAGTTAGTGAGAGAAGGGGAAAGAGCAAGTTAAAAAGAGAGAGATAAAAGAATAAGAAGAGAAAGAGAAAGATAGAGAGAGTGAGAGAGAGAGAAAGGAAGTGTATCAGAACGCGCGGAGTGCGCGAGTGCTTTGTTTTGACGAGCAGCTGATCCGTGCAGTGTCGTGCTATGAATGTTTTTTTCTTTTCTTTCTCTTTAAATTATCTTTGTATTCTTTCTCGTTCGATGTCACGTCAGTGCATTTTAAACGAAGGGAAAAGCAGCTGTTAGAGCAGCTTGGTAAACCAAATTGTCTTTCCTCTGTCGCAGCTGTTGTTGCTACTGCTGCTGTTGCTGGTTGGTGGTAGTTGGTGGTGGTTGGTTTGGTTGCTGGTGGTGGTGGTGGTGGTGGTGGTGGTGGTGGTGGTGGTGGTGGTATTGATGATGCTGTTACTGACTTACTACTACTGCATTTTATTTGCAGAGCGTCGCGACGGTGGCTCTTAAATGTGATATCCAATACACACCCCGAAGTTTTCTAATGCGATCTATCATAAATCTTGAAATAAACGTTTACACGAATTTCCCTGTTACGGTAGTGATAAGGAAAGACAATCGATCGATCGGTTGGTTGGTTGGTTGGTTGGTTAGTTGCTTGCTTGCTTCTTCTCTCTTTGCATTGTTATTATCGTCATAGTTGGTGTTGTTGTTAGGTGTGTTTTTGTAATCTGGTTTTTGTCTTCTTCGACGAGAAAAACTTGTTTTTTTTCACTATATACATATTTACTTATTTACTTGCATACTTTCTTATTTATTTACCATACATATATAAAGAAATAAAGGGGTAAAGGGAGGATCGAATTTTTGAGGTTAACTTTGAAAAAATAAATTGAAGTCATAGTTGTCGATCGAAGAGAAAAGAAATTAAATGAAGCAGTAATGTGTGTGCGTGCCTACTCGCGCGGGAGAGTGTGTGTACGTGTGATGTATACGTGGAGAAAGAGAAGAGGGACAAATAAATTGTGTGGTTGTTCGGACTTTTTTATTTTTCTTTTTCTTTGTATTATTCGCACATCCTCGTTCACTTGGTCGAAATGGAGTAGTTAGTTACGATCAATCGAAGAAACACAAAGGAACCCTTGCGAAGATTCGGGGCGTGAAACGAGTACCCCTGGTATGCGTGTGCGTGCATGTGTGGAGTGTGTGCATGTGTGGTGTATGGTGTATATGTCGCGCGTTTCTTCTCTTTTCTCTCTCTCTCTCTCTCTCTCTCGCTCTCTCTATCTCTCTTTCTTTTTTATTTATTTATTCTCTTTAAATTTTTTATTTATTTACTATTACTCTGTCTCTTTCTCTGTTATTTTCTTCTCTCTTTCTTCACTCTTACTATCTTACTCTTTTCATTCTCTCTTTCTCTCTCTCACTATCTTACTCTCTTACTCTCTTCTTTATTTCTTTCTCTTTCACCCTTTTACTATCTTCGTTTTCTTTTTTCATTTATTCTCTTTGCTCTCTCTCACTTTTTTTTCGTTTTCTCTATCCCTCTTACTCGTTTCGCAGTTTCTCTTTCTCTTTTTCTTCGTTCTCTCTCAGTTTTCTCGGTTACTCTCTTTCTTTCTCTCTCTCTCTCTCTCTCTCTCTCTCTCGCACTTGTTCCCAAGCAGAAAAACACGTCGTGAGAGGCCGTGGACCTTTCTGTCGGCCACCAGATGAGATGATCTTGCGTGATACAACTCTGTTCCTTTTCCTTTCCGTTCGTCGCTCTTTCGAGTTGTCTTAGTCGTCTTACATTAGTCGTCGTTGTCGTCGTCTTTCTTTCGGCTTCCATTAAAACGACGTTCGTTTTCGAGTAAAAAAAGATGGAAAAGAGGTGGTTGATGAGGAGGAGGAGGAGAAGGAGGGAACCGGTTGTTGTTTGAGAGAGAAACAAGAAATATCTGATGTGTATCCTTTGGCTTTGTTCACCAGATCTTACGGTTCACAACCTTTCTCCTTTTTTTTCTCTTTTCTATTCGTATTATTCATATATATATTATATTTACTTGTATCCTTACTCCCCCACATTTTGTTTTCATACCTTCACCTTTTACAATTAAATTTATATTCGATTGAAGGAGCGGAGGAAGAACCCAGACTGTTGCCGCCGTCTTCTTCGAAACATAATTTAATATACAAGGAATAAGAAGCTCACAAAGAAAAAGAAGAAGAAGAAGAAGATATCATCGTACATCATTTACTACTACTGGATAGAAGGAAATACAAAAAGAAAGAGAAACACAGAGACACAATAATAATAGATATAGAATTAAAAAAAAAAAAAATTATAGAAAAATAAAACATACCGCAATATAAACAAATCAAAAAGAATAGTAAGATAGATTAAAATAATAAGAAGAGAAGAAGAAGAAGAAGAAGAAGAAGAAGAAGAAGAAAATAAAGTAGGTCTTTTCGTTTATAAATAAAAAGAGCCTGTTGTATAGGCAACTGTAATCTCTGAATGATCTACGACGCGATCAAAAGTCGTACGCGAGGTAGCACCGAGAGAATAAGAAGTAACAACAATAGTAACAACAGTATAAGTCAAGATCGTCGTCGTCGTAATCCTCGTCGTGGGACGAGATCATCCACCTCGTCGTGTTTAAGTTCGTCGTCAAGGTTTTCCTCCTCCTCCTCCTCCTCCTATTTTATATCGTCGACGTTGTTGTCGTCGTCGTCGTCGTCGCCGTCGTCGTCGAAATCATCGTCCTCGAGGAGCAACGGGATCGTTTTAGCGATCAATGCGGCATAGACAAACCGGGGCCGTACTCGCGAGCTTCGAGAAACCTGGGGTACGGCCCCGATCGAGCTGACTATAGGGGGAAGTCGTCCCTCGAGGAGGAGAGACGCCAAGGGAGAAGAAAAGCAGCACAACTACGGCGTAGCTTATTATTTCTTTTTCCTTTCGTTGGGAGAGGACCAAAAGGGAAAAAGGAACTGCTGCTGTTGCTGCTGTTGCCGCCGCCTGCTGCTTTTCCTCTAGGAGGATCTTTTGGATACTATTGTTAATATAAAGGAAAAGCACGCATGCTTCGAATTAGTCGAAATCGGTGAAGATACCTGAAAGTTAAACAAGTGGAAGAAGAGGAATAGTATTCATTTTGATCTCGAAAGGAGAAACGGCATAAAGATGCTCTACGTGTTCCATGTGGATACCGGTACCACCATCACATTTGATATCAACTTGGCCCTGCAAACGTAAGTTTTTTTCTTTTTTTTTTTTCTTACTTTTTTTTTTTTTATATTCCTGTTACGAATGATCCTTTTTTTGTACATCGTATTTCGTTGATTTTTTTTTTCTTTAAATCATATCTAATCCATTCACGGAAATAAACTTTTTCTCACTAATCAAGTTTTCTCTACTAATATTTTTTCTATTTTAAATGTGAATCATTTTATTGTCATTTTGATAAATGTTATTGCATTTATGAGATAATATTTAAATGTTGGAAAATATATAAAATGATAGATAATTGATGTTAATTTATCTGTGACAGTTCTTCTGTCGACGCTCGGAATAATTTTTTTTTTAAACATTAACATATAATAATTATGGAAATCTGTGTAAAAGTGACTGAATGTTTATTTTATTTTATTATTTGATGAGTCTGTTAAAATATTTCTTATACGAGATTGAATTTTCGAAAGATTTTATTCAGGCAGTTTTATGTGTGTTTATAGTTATTGTGTGACCAACAGGATCACTCATTTCCTGAGTTTTGTAGAGACTTATATTGTCCTAAACCAACCAGACTTCCTCCGGATTCTGTTCATTCAATTTTTACAGTATTCTTCGAAAAAATTGTCATGAAATATTCGAAGTAACCTAACGAGCATTTAAATCTTGAATATTACTGCAAGTAGGGAAACATTTCGTCCCCTAATTGTCAGTAGGGAGAACATTATTTGCATATATGTAGATAAACGTAATCTGCAAAAGTGTTCGTGTAGAGTGCTGAAAAGTAGCGTAAAAAAATGACGTAAAAAAAAAATTAATTTGAAGTGCGAAACACACCTATATTTCTATTTTCCTATTACAGTGACGTCCAGCTATGGATATGATAATCTTATCAATTAACTATTTTTAACAGATTTAATTTATTTCAAAACACTTAATATAAAGGAAAGAAACGATAAGAATTTTAAACAAATTCCTACTAAAGAAACATTTATTCGAATCTTTGTTTTCACCGCATTACATATATTTTTTTGTTTACATAATTACATATAAGGAATTCATAAAAAATAGATAAATATACTTTTTTGTGATGTTTACAGGTAACACTTAATAAGGTTTTAAAATAATCTTTATCTTGTTTTCGAAAACAATTGTTTAAAAGAAATATGGCATAAACGTGTAGTGTTGAAATGAGTGTGTACAATTTTTGATAAATATTAAATTATAAAAATATCAATTATTGATATTAATTTGCGTTTAATAATGATAATATTTTATTTTCTCTTTAATTTTATCAGCTGGTTATTCTTATCAAAACTTTTAAGTCTCAAGGTGATTATAAGTGGATCTCGTCAGATTTTCTTTTTAAAACGGATATCCTCACTCGGAAAAATAAACAAAGAACTTTGTCCGATTTTTATCTTCGGTTAACTATTTTATTTCGTAAATTTTAATGAGCATGTGATAAACAAGCAGCTATTTTCTAACCTTTTTTTTTTTATTTTTACTAGACGCGTTAATTTTTTATATTTACGTGTTATGTTAATATACACTGGGTGTATTTATTAGATTGTTCGAAAAGTACTTTCGTTTTTTTAATAAATAATATTTTTTTCATATAAAATACTAAATATTTCTCAGATTCCCCAAGACGTTTGAAATGATCGTGAATGATCGAATTTGATGAATTAGAAAGACTATACTTTTGAAACATAAACAAAGTTCTAAATGACATCCGAAATGTTAAAATTATCCTAGTTTTATGTTAATTTAAAGTACCAATTACGATTTTAAACCATAAAAATATTTCGAATGATTTTCATTAGAAAAAAAGGAAGAAAAACAGATCATAAAATAGTCATAAAATGTGTTTTCCTTTGTGTCGTTTGCCTTTCGAACGAGAAACGGTTCTAATGACGTGTACGCGGATCGATTAAAGCCTGACACTATATATATATATAACGTTCGATGATGTGATTTAAAGACGGTTAAAGGGCCTCGGTTGGTCAGCCGTTGAGGAAAATCGATTAGGTAGATATTTGTGTGTGTGTATATATATATATAAATGAATGTGTTGGTTATAAATGAATAAAAGAATTGTTTTTCAGTTATTTAAAAACAATAAAAGAAATATTAAAAAAAAAATCGTCCGAACGCGTCAATAAGTTTGATAATTTCGTATTTATCACGTTTCATTTGGATTATTATGATGACATTTGCATGTGTAGTTATTTGAAATTTAAAAGGAAATACTTTGTGTCTTCTTTACGTGCTTTGTACTCTGTGTCCCCTATTGGTTCTAAATATAAAAGGAAAGGTAGGGTAATTGGAAAATAAATCGCACGAGATAAATCGACTAAGTGAGAATCCAAAGTATTTACAATTAGAACCCCTATGACACAACTTTGAAACATATTGTAGTGCATGAAACCTGCAATCAATTTCAGTTCGATTTTTTGTAATTTTGTAAGCATCGCATCGGTATGCTGTGTGTGTGAGTAGGTATATTAGATAAAGGCTCACAACCCCTAATTTAAAAAAATTTTTTTTTAATATCACGCGTTTTTCTCGAAGCTATGTTTTTAGACAGTGTCAGCATGATAATTCACTCAGTCAATTTTTACTATTTTAAAATTTTTTTTTTTTTAAATCTTGACAATTATTTTCTCTATAGTTTGACAAGAGGATTTTTTTAATTTTTTGGTTGGATAATGGTTTACTAATTACAGTATTTCATACTTTAGTGTGCAATTTAAAAAAGGAAAAGTTAGAAAATATTAAAAATTATTAAGTTATCATGCTGACACTGTCTATAAAAACATAGTTTCGAGAAAAACGCGTAAAAGAATGTGAGCCTTTAAAAAACAGAACGATAAATGCTTGGATGGGTGCGTATATGTATTCAGGGTATCTGTTGCAGATCGAAACACATTTCGTTGAAGGTCCTGTGTCGATACCTGTGTCGCTAGGGCGGTCCGTTCTTTTTTTGTGTATTTAGGTATCACTAATACGAGTGTATATGTGTGTAAGATGCTAAGGAAATCAAGAAGTATTCTTGCCAGCCTTCAAGTTCTAAGTCTTTACATCACTCGCTTACAATTTGTCGTGTAAGATCAATGTTTAAATATGTGTTTTTATTTTTCTGAATTAATACATATAATTTCTGATACCGAATTATATTCATTGAAATATTTATCATAAAATTTAGAAATCGGTATACGTATCAATGATTTTTTGAAACTTACATTTGTCTTCAATTTTTTTTATTTTAGTCAATTGTTCAATATCGAAATATAAAAATGTGCTTTTTTTTTTTAATCGATGCCAATTGTTTCTGTTGCCAAATTACCTGAAAACATTGTAATATTTATTATAAAATTTAGGTATCATGAAATAACAGATCGAAACATAAAATGCTTCTAAATGATGTCTGAAATGTGTGTTACTAGAATTCAAATTTTGTGTGTGTGTGATTTTGAAGTTTAGAGAAAGGTTAGTTTTTAGTAAATGTGACTAATAAAATCTTTCTACGAAAAACGTATATATATATATAATTACTTTTTTTTTATATAATATATAATATAATTATATTTCAAAATTTTATTGCAAAATTTAAAAAATTTTGTGTGCATGTATCGACATTTAAGGTTTCATGAAAGCATCAGTTAGTTTTATTTTGCCTTCGCATTAACAATCCTTTCAGTAAATCGTGTCATACCAACGTTGAAAAACTTGCCTTCTCCCCGAATCGATGGAAGTTACATCTGACGCAGGACTATATATATGTATATTGCAACATGCATCATAAAACTTAGGAATCAATACATGCATCGCAACATTTTTCAACTATTACAAAAACCTATACTACTAGAATTCGACTACAAAAAAAAAAAGATAGAAAATAAAATACCCAAAATATATCATTAGAATTGTTAATGATATTTTATTAAATAGCGAAATAATTTCCATCCTTTAATAAACATTAATAATATTCGTCTATTACTAGATATAGAAGATAAAGAGAAGAGAAGAAAAGAAATGATAAAAAAGTTAATTTGAAAATAACAAAAGTTCTGTCCTTGGTTAAGTCGAGGATACAACAAATGATTATATAATGATCACTCTAAAGTCTACGCTTTCCAAAGACGATGACTGTAGTTTGAATGCCGGAAAATACAACAAGACGTTAATTAGTTCCTCTCCCTTCTCCTCTTCCTCCTTATCCTTCTCCTCCTCCTTCTCGTCGTTAGGAATAAATCACCGTTTTTCTCTTTAATATTTTTCTCCTCTTTTTTTTGTTCTTTTTCTTTTTTTTTTTTCTTTTCCTCTCCGTTCTTTTCTTTATCTCTTAAACTCATAAAATTGCTTCTTTATGCGAGAGGTCTTGTACAAAAGAGGTCGGTGAAGAGAGTTATCCTTTTTTTTTATTTTTTTCTTATTCTTTTTTTTTCTTTTTCTATTTTCCCTATCGTTAATTTGTTCTACCAGTAGAGAAAAGAAGCCTTTTAGAGTTTTTCAGGATATTTGCTAGGAAATAATATAAAATGTAACGGGCCTTTTCGTGTAACATCGGAAAAAAAGTACGTTGAAGAAAGGGTTTATGCTGAGAGAAAAGAGGGGAAAAGAATGGAAGGGGAAGAGAAAAGAAAAGTTTTATACCTGTTTCGAACTCTATGCAAGATGATGATAGGTCGTGGTCTTAGAAGGTTCTTCGTTCGGTCAGACGAGAAGGCATAACGGAGCTCTTCAGGTATAAAGAAAATCTTTTGTCTCCCGTTGCTCACACGTGTGCAGTTTCACAGCCCATGATGTGCAGGTCAAAAACCCATAAACTTTGCGATGTATAGGCAACTGACTTCCAAAAGTTTCTTTCCTGTCTAACAATGAACCTTCCGAAAAAATTTTAGAATTTGTTTGCTATATTCTTTTTCTTTCTTTTTTATATTAATATTAAAAAAAAAAAATAATAATAATAATAATAATGCGAGAATGGGAGAAATTCAAGAGTGAATAAATATTA